CTGCATAATTGTGGCTCACTGAAAGTTAGAACACATTCATGCACAAAACGTTGGCTTTGTGAGTCACTTTATGATTCATAAGTTCCACAGAATGTTTTATTTTTCTATAATGATTGTATATTTCACAAATCTTTATGAATAGAGGAAACACTGACAGCATGAATGACAGCTTAGGAACTGTAAGGCTTTTTATCAGCTCTGCAATAATTCTTTTTACTAATACTGCTCAAAATGATATTTAGTGAACTGATTATAGTTTGGCAAATGTGTGTGTTGGATTTCTTTTTGTTTAAAAAGTTGATGAAACAAGCTGTCAAACCTTAAATTCATCACACTTTTGTGAACACAGTCACAATTCACAATTCATTCTAACTGTTGAATTTGTTTGTTTCTGTAGAGCTCTGTCAGTAAGTGCTACAGTCACCGGTTATTTATTATTGGATGTTGAGCTGCAGGTGGGTAGGTCTCATCTAATAAGCGCCTGTGGCAACACTTGTGCATGAGGAGCCCAGCTTGATTGAGATCATGTTAGCAAAGTAATCTGGTTTAGCTCATGGCTGCATCTGTTTGTTAACATAAATGATACAACAAGCTCTGTGCACAGTTGGCAATGTGAAATCAGGAGTAACTCACTGACTCTATGAGAGGTCTAGTGGGGCATCAACAGCACAGTGGCTCAGCTCATCGGGATTCGAGTAAGACTAATTTGGTTTCATGTTCTTAGACATGATAGCAATCAGTGTGTGCTGTGGCCTGGTGGTTGGAGAGATAGTAAAAAGGCTTAGCGAGTGATCCCAAAACTACATAAATAATGTATTGCTGGAATGATAAGACCAAATATCACCCTAGACACAGCAGTTGTTGAATTAGTATGTGTTGTGTTTTGTGCATCCAAAAATAAGAGGTCTGGTTTAAACTGACTGAGAACAGATGGGAAAAAAAAGTTTCTTTGTTCTATTTCCTTTTTGTTCCTCCTTCCCCAGTCGCAAAGTCTGTGCCTATTATGTTTTTTAATCTGTCTCTGTTGAGCATAGCTGAGGGGCATCAGGAGACGATTCTTCCCCAAGTTTTCGAAGTTAGTGGGTTTCAGCGGGTTTAAATAGCGGAACGCTCACATTAGAGTTTGAATTTTAACTTCAGCCTCCTTTCTCCATTTCTCCTTTCTGTTACTGTGTTGTGTCCCGTGTGAATAAAGTCTACAGTTAACCTTGGAAATAAGYGATCGGTTTCACCATTCTCCTTTGTGTGCGCTCTGAGAAACTATGCTGCAAGTTCCTCCTACACAACATTTAGAGCTTTTCCTCAGATTCTGTAAAATAGTCTTTGTTTTCCATGCCATGTCAAGCCATTCCAAATTTTAAAGGAAAAAGTTTCAGCTTTGTTAATTTGAGAAGCAAAAGAGGGCTAATCACCAAAAACATGGTTATTATTGTGTTGTTTTTAAAGCGCTCACCTGTGGGCATAGGCTGTCAATTTGGGTGGCTGCCATCCGCACCAACTTCACACCCTCCTCATTGTTGGAAATGGAGCAAGCCAAGTTAGCCACCTGAATGTTGCAAGCAAAAAAAGACRAATCCTTATTAAAACCAGAACCTGGACACTTGAAAATTCGTATACTTACTCCCACATTTTGGACAGAAAATTGTGGATTTTATTTTTATTCAACAYCCCTATGCATTGAATTTGTTTCTACCAYAAAAGKTCAAATATTTTATATGAAACTGAAATTACAGCTGAAAATAATATCAGTTCRAATAAGACATGYAAAACTCAAGTTATTTTATATTTATATATAATTTGGAAACATTTTTTTATGAACACATTCTGTAAGTTTGAGAAATCATAGCTTTAATTTCTTAGGGCCAATAGTTAATAATGTCAACATAAAATGTTAAATGTAATATTTTAGGGAAAAAAAAGGTAGTTGTGTGTGTACAATAAATGATAAAAAACAGCAGGTCTTTATAGTTGAAATGCAATCCAAACCATTTGTGAGCAACAACATGGGATATTATGCCGTGAATAAATCAAAACAGATCACAGCACAGTGCTTCAAAATACCACCAACAATGTTGGATGTAGCAGTAAAGCAGCTACAAGCTGCCTAAAATTCTCACTGTTCTCTACAGAAGGAACACAGATGTGAACTGACTAGTAATTCCAGGATTTTGGGAACACAAGACAGGTCATAAGTTGTTAGGGTCACAACAGTAATCAGCATTATTTGAGCATTGTTCTATGGAAAGGATCATTTGTTTGAAGCAAACATTGCATCAGTGAATAACATTTTTCTTCAACTGATACTTTCTTATTCCTAAAGGCATTATATTATTCAGAATGCAGTCTATAACAAGTGTGACAGAAGATATGATTTTATGTGGGAGGTATGGATTGAAAAGCAGAACSACTTTGAGACTTAACAGTCAAAACGATTGCCTTTATGGTTAAGCACAAGTGCTTGTTTGGAAAAAAAAAAGGGAACAGTTTTTAAAACAGCATTCAGATAAGCCTCTAAAAATATTGAAGATGGGAATTGTTTTAAAACCAAATAAATCCTTTTTTTGGTTTTTGTTAAGCTCAWACTAATAGTTGTCTCAATTTGAACATCATTCAAATAAGTTTCTATAAACAAATTACATTTAAAGAGCTATCTACTTTAAATAAGACATATTGGACACTTTCTTCAAAAACCTATTTAAAAGATCTGCATATTTGTTTTAATAATGTATCCATTTTCTGCAATTAATCACTTACTAGAGACAGAGTGTAACAGTTTTGTTAGAATTACAGAACACAACATTTTGCATTCACATCTGTGCAGAGTTCCAGTCATTTTTATTTTGTGCAGAGACATTTAAAAAAAATAAGCAGACACAGTTTTTCAGACCTAACACCGAATCAATGTAATGACAGTCTGTGCCAGGAATGTTTGTGATGTAGTAGAGAATAATTTCACAGGTTATTATGTAACCTTCAGCTGGAGAAATAAAGATAATTGGATTTATTAAGATGCAAAATGACCAGGTTCACAGAACGTCTAAAGTGGAAGCTGAACTCATTAAGATAACATTTCCAGTTTGTTCTGATAAACGATTACTATGTTTAAGTCACTGTGAGACTTCAGTGGTGCTGATAGGATGCTTTATAACATGATGAATGTGTTAGATGGTTTTTATTATTATACATAAATAAAAAAAAATCTTGGTTTGACTGTTTTATGTAAATGTAAAGTTAACACAGATAATGTGTCTAATCTGACACAACTCTTAGAAAAACACATGTAGCAGCTTATCCCAGCTCATTTTCAAGCTCTTTAATGAGCTAATTTTAGCTACATGAAATAAATACAACAGTTAACACTCTAAACTGATTAATCACACATGAGGAAATGTGAACAGTCTGTTGTATGCTCTCTGGATGCAATATACAGTACAAATTGGTTGAGTAATTTTACAAAGGTGGAACACATTGAATGTGTAACTTATTCTAAACCAGAACAGCTCCTTCAGTCTTCATGTCTGGAACACACTCTCAGCACATTTCTCCTCCATATCCCTGCCACTCACAGCTAATTGTCATAACTTTAAACTCTTCATAATCCAATCCCAGTTCCAAACAAATCAGATTGCAGGATGAGCCCCAGCTCTGAAACTGAACTAAATAGGCACATGCCCGTTGGCAGCGAAAGGTGCCAGTTTGTGTTAGCACTTCTAGTGCTCACATGTCACTGTTTGAGAGAAGCGGAGGTAAATCAAATTTGTTTTAGAGGACTCTTGCTTAGAGCTCTGTCTCTTTACTCATGACAGCAATGAGCACATTGATGGATTACAGTCCTTTGTGCGAGGCATGGTGTGCACGAGTGTAAAGTGGCGTGTGTAAGAGAGTGGAATGCAGAGTGCGAGTGGAGTTAGCGTCGCACAAACCTGAGTGGCTGTTTGCAGATGTTTGAGAACCATACAAAGTTTATTTACATAATTCCATGTTTTCAGTAACTGTTTTACCTCCGTGTGGGTGAAACAGACGTTCTGCAAATCTATTAAGTTATGACCTCGTTGCAAGTTTCTTTTTGTCTTTGCAAAGTAAAATGTAAATTAATGAGGTAAAAATGAGTGGGCAGTTGAAACCGTAAGCACTGTTTGCTTATTTTTACTTCAGCGGACAGCATCTGGCAGACTGCTTTCCTTGTCTTTGCTTAAAAAGAAAAAAATATTTAAACTGTATGTGACTTCCACTTGTGTCTTTTCTCCAGTGTAATGCATGTGAGGTGATAAATGAATGCATTTCCATTTATGATGCAAGATTTTAAATTGCTGTGCAACTTTGTGCAATTTTTATGTACTGAACCTGAAATCACAGAGTATTTTTTTTTTATTGGAAATGTGTTTATGTGATATTTGTTATACTCATATGAAATATCACGCTTCCAAGAAGGACATAAGTGCTACACCTTTTCTCCATTTAGAATTATCTCAAATTAAGTCAAAATGCACTACTCGATCAAGAGAAATTGTGTCTTTCTTTTGTGACTTTTTTCACTTAAGCATTTTTCCAACTCTGGCTCTGCTCAGCCCTCTGACTGCTGCAGAGTCTCATGTGAGACAAAGGGGCAGAGGGCTCTCTGGAAGCTGGAAACATGCCCAACAGGCCTACTCCCACTCCCTGTTACCCAACACAAAGAGCAAGGCCAGGGCCAACAATGCAAAATCCAACCAAAGTTACTAATTGTAATTATCTAAGGAACACCCTTCTCCACTGGGTGTTTATCTATTTATTTTTCCTAAATAGTGAAGAAAAAAAAAAACACAAGGTCGGAGACTACACAATGCAAGCCTAACGCTGAGATGGTCAGAGATGTTGGAACAGAGTAGGAAATTCTAAGAGGCAAATGAATGTGTGGGTGTTTGTGTTAGTATGTGTGTGTGAGAGAGAGATCCCTGCTGAACGGCCATTCTTCATTTTAGCTCAGAACAAAGAACTATTGATTCTGTCCTTTAGCTCTGCCTTGGATAATCACTTCAATTYCAACTTGATGAAGGTTTCCATGGCAGTTGGAGAGATGGGCATCCACATGTAAGCTATTTAAATAACTGAAATGGAGCTGAGTAACTGGAAGAAGTTCAGATTGTAATAGTTTTATTTATTTATTTATTTATTTATTTATTTA